GGAGAGCTCTTCTTCATCCCAACATGCCACTGTTTTTCAGCCCCTTGGCCTTCCAATCTGTCACAGTTTGTCTTTGCAGGCTTAAGTGAGAGGTAAAGCAAAACGGACTGAGGGCTGATACAATTGTGGACCCTTTGCTTGGCCTCCTGTCCTCATGTAAAAAGCATTTTAGTTCCAGGTGTCTTAGTTCTTCTCAGACAGTATCATGCTGACACAAGGTCTCAGGCATCTTGGAAGGGGTGGGATTACCCATGTGGGGCCTGGGAGCGTGGAACATTTGACAGTGCTGCGACCTTTCTAGAGATACAAATCAGCTTGTCAAAACTCAGGAAGCCACTGGGAAGTTCTGGACTGTATTTGAAATGAAGGACAGTTCAGGGTGTTCTTGTAGCCCTGTCTCTGGAGAGACCTTGGAGCTATATTGTGGCTTTGCCACCAGCCTGTTAACTGGCCTCATCTCTTGCTGTTCCTTTCACATCTGTAGTGAAACTGAACTGTGATGTTCTTACTGTGCACTTACTTTGTCTTTGTTGCAGGACTATAGTTGTTGGATAATTTCTTCTCTTGTAAAAGTCCAGCTTTTCTTGCTGATGCCCCTCAAGAGTTCTTACAACATCGTGTGCTGTTCTCTCAGCCAGCGTGGGCAGGATATGGCACTTCCAGGAAGATCCTTGCAGTGGTGGTAAGGCTGCCCAGACAATATGTAGTATCACTTAGTTTAGATGAATATGGATGTGCTTTTCCCTGCCAGTGTCTGTCAGGGAAGGCTCCCCTTCTTCAGAGAAGCAAGATGGTTTAGTTATTACAGTGCTGGCAGGATTTTTGGGCTTCCAGGTTCAATTTGCTTGCATGGTGTGACCAAGCAGAAGCTGCTGAGCTTGTGAATGACTCAGTTCCATGTCTGTGGAGAGGATTCTTTCTTCCTCAGGAGTAGTGTGGCAATGACAAGTCAGGCCATTCAGCTCTCTCATGGCTTCTCCAAGTGGTTTATCTTGTTGGGAGTCTCATCAGAAAGACCAAGAAACAAAAACCTTGTGGGCGAGGACCTGCTTCTGGTTCTTATTGAGGGCTCCCTAGAACAGGTCCAGAGGCGCAGAGAATCTGTCCTGGTGATACACAGACATTTTCAGACTAGCACCTTTCTTTTCCCCTGCCCCAGTAGTCACTAAATTACATGGAAGAAAGAAGAAAGCCAAAGGAGGTAGTAAAGGCATCAGGTGTCAATTCCTTGTGATGTGTTTGTTACAAGTGTCTCCTACTTATTAAATCCGTTGTGTTGGCTGTTCAACAGCAAAAATGTTGGAAAAACCCTACTCAGCTTGCACTGGTTCCCGTTACTTCTTGGTTGAGGGTTAGGAGCTCAGAATGAAACAAAGAGTTTGAATGTGTTCTGGGCTCCTCTGTCTTTCTGTAGGATTCCTCCCCCAGAATCTGGAAGGCAGCTCCATGCCTTGTTTGAGAAACCATTTTGCAGCTATTTTTGTATATTAACGTGATGGTGTTTGTGTTCTGCTCTGTTCAAAGCTCTAAGAAAATGTTCAGGATGAAAACTGATGTTCCCTCAAAAGCCAGCTTCTCACATGTGGTAAATATGAAAGTCATCACATTCCTAATAGTGGTGGAGGAGTGAGCAGGGAAGTTCACCCTTCTGAGACTCTCATCTTCCTTCCAGGAAGGCCCCACTTGCTGTGGTGGAAGACAGCAGCTTCCTCCCAGGAGATGTCCTTGTTGCAGCATGCCTCTTGCTGTGACAGGATGGCCATGGCCCAGTGTTGTCACTCTGCCTATTGCCACAGTGAGTTGTGTGACATTTTTTAGCGCATATAAATGGCTTTGCTGACATGAGTTAAATGCCATCAGCAGGACAGGGAACACCAAGAATGAAGTTAGCATAATGCACAATGGAGCCATTCCATTTGTTTTGCCAGCTCCATTCTCTGTCACTGCAGTTTGCCATTGACTGAATGAAACCCCCATTTGAAGCACTGATAAAAGGTCTCCCACGCCCTCCAGTTCTTGCTTTCCTGAGGAATTCAAAGTTAGAGACATAAACCAGACTGCAGCAAGCTGTAACTCTTCAAACATGTAAGAAACCACAACCTGGAATGGATTATTCCATCTTGCAATGGCTGAAGTGAACAGGGGTGTTCTTACCTGTTTTGAGCTGCTGGGTTATGTGTGTAACATCTTCATTGCTCTTGGTGTCCGTGCCAAATAATGAACCTGCTTCCATAAAACTGGTGCTGTTCTTTATGTTATTTAGTTAGTATCTAAACTTTGTTACTTCAGGACTGCAAATAGCTCTAAGCAGATCCTTTAGGAATCCTGTTTGTTGAGGTTGTGTTTTAGCAACGGATGAATAAGTATTTGTACATAATCAAGCCATAAAATCGTGTTTTGCAAACTTTTGAAAATAGGTTTTTGTTTCATTTGGAAGCATCTAATAGAAAGGTAGGAGGATGCTGAAGCTGGGCCTCACACTTCAGTGCCTCTCCTTCTTACTGTGTACCTTTGGAGTTTGTAAATGTTAGACAATAGCATTCAAAATAATGCTGCTGATGTATTTGGGCTTCTCACTGATTCACTCGGGGTGAAATGTGTCGGGTTGGTCCAACTCCAGTTGTAATCCAGCAGTTCACACAACAGGCAATGAATCTTCTGAGTCATGGGTAGTTTATGCACGGTGACAGTTAACAAAAATACTGACTGATGAAGATTCAGTTGAGACTTCAAGTGTGCAATGACTATGATCATTTTTCATCTCCACCTTTCTGTATTGCTGCAGACATCACCAGGCTCTTTTGCACAAGTATGGAATTGAAATGCAAGTTTTCAAGTATCTAGTGCTCATTCAAAGAAGGGACTAATCTGCTCTTTGAGTCCATGGGGAATAAGATAAGAAGAAATGGGCTTAAATAACATCCCTTGGAAACATTTTCACAGTGGGGATATAGAGCATTGGAAGGCTGCCTGGGGTGACTGGAGTCTCTGTCACTGGAAGAGTTTTAGAAGAGGGTAGAGATGTCTTTGTGAGGAGTGCATTGGTACTATTGATCCTGTATTGGGGGCAAAAGGAGGAGATGCTTCTTGAAACCATCTTTTGTATAATTTGGTTTATTATGACCATAAATATATAAGAAACACTGTAAACTACTCGGCATACCATTGAGGAGGGTGTAGATGTTTTTCACTTATTTTTAGCACTTGACCTTACAAGACTGAAAAATAACTTTTTCCTTCTGACTTTTGTCCTCTGCTTGGCAAAGATTAGTTAAAAACACAGAGATGGAAAATATTTAAACTTTAAACTAGGATGAGCTTTTCTTTTTGTTGTTTGTTTGTGTGCTGCTTCATTTGTGATGTCAACTCCAGTCAGGAAAAAAAGGTGTAACTAACCTTGGCACCGCGGTTCTAAAGCGCTTCCACACTGATGCCCAAACAAACACTATCTGCTACTCACTTCTTTTTTAATCAGTAATGCTTAAGAAGTTATAGACAAACCTGAAAGCTGTTTCCCCATCAGATAATAAGAAATTCAAATACATCAGCTCCTTTTGAATTTGTCTTTTTTTTAAACAGAAACAGGCACCCAGAAATAACCAACCCACTAGCAAACACTTTCTGATCTGCTACTACGTGTTTAAGCTGTGTCAGAGTGGTGATTTACAAGCATTTCTAGCCCTCAGATCTGAATACAGAAAGGTATAAAATGAGTCCAAGAAAAATAAAGGTAGGAATGACCTCAGCCTGTGGAGACACCATGTCTTGCTTAGCTCAAGGAAGCTCTGGAGAAACAAGATACATTTATTTGTAGTTATTTTGCTACTGTCAATGAATAGAAAAGATCCCAGAAGCTGTTGCAGACTGAAGAGAAATGGCTTTGGGTTTCTAGAAGAATGCCAAGACGTATTGATCACTGCCTTAGTGTGCAGAAAACTTACTTGTTCAAATATTTAAAGTTGGCGTAATGCAGGTTTAATATGCTGTGCTTCATTTCATTTAGAATAAGTGAGCAACAAGCACTGTTGTGTCACTGTGCTGTTCTACACTAATTGTTGCTGAGGGCAATGAAGGTCATTTCTCAGCCTGACTTTACTCTTCTAAGTACATGCTCACTAAGTGCATCTTCTAAGTACATACTCACAGTTTTCCATTTGGGCTGGAACACCCCAGCTAGCTGCAGAGTTACTTACATGTAACACGTGCTCCTTGTGAGCCAGGTCAGTATAGTCTCCAGTCTGCCAATAACTTCATTATTAGTGACTCTCTTGCAGAGGATAACAGAGGTAGGAATGTCCTTGCAAGACGTCCACATTGTCCAAGTTCTCTTTTTCTCTTCCCTGTGAAGAGATCCAGGTTCACTGCTGGTAGCCCTGAATATTCCAAATACTTTGGTGACTTGCAGCTTGTCCACGCGAGGTGTTCTTCACAAGAGAGGGGGTCGCTCTGTTTCTTTTGTCCTTTGCAGTGACTCCAGGAGCTTGGAAGATTTCTTCTTTATAATGTCAATTATTTGAGTTTCTTCAGTCCATAGTAAAACCCAAGAAAATTACCTAACATCTCTATAGTATGGTTTTGATGAGTTAATCTGGATGTCAAATGATAGACATATTAGAAAATACAGTGAATTTTACATATAACATGATCACCATGTTTAATATTATAAAAGGGCATGTTGTGGGCAGCTGAAAGTGTTCAGAAGAACGTGAAGCTGTGTACAGAGGAAGCGGACTTTTCCTAATAGTCTTCAAGAGATCTTCCTGGATCCCTTGCTAGATCCCTTCCTGGATCCCTTGCTGGCTGGGGTCACACTGCTTTACAAGCCAATGTCACACACTCTCAGAAATTATTTCAAAGGTTTTTTTCATGTGGCTTTGTTTGGTTTTATGTCCTGCTATCACTGGGTAATATTTTGCATAGATAGCAGAAAATGTCATTACTGCTCATACCTATTTTATTTGCCTTGTACTGAATAGTTCCTTTTCCATTTCTCTTTGTAGTACCAGGACTTTGATTGTCTCATCGTTCTACATACACATTTATTTCTCCATACAAAGCAAATCTGACGTCAGCTGGTTCCAAGGTGATCTCACAAGTGACCCTTGTCCACTCTTCATTCCATGTGAGTTACATCGCTTTCTTTCTGGAGTTTTATGACTTCTCCCCAGTTGAAAAAAACAGATTTTTTTCTGAATAGTTGGCTAGAACCTGCCTCTATTAATGACCCATCAGGCTTCTGTTGAAATAATGTGTTTTTCCCTTAAAACTCTCCACTGCCATAACAGGTCCTAACAGGCTTCCCTGCTTGGCATCTAGCAGGGTCCTGGAGTGAGCAGCCTGCAGAGGCTGATGCCTCTCCCCTCTGGACAGCAGCATCCTCAGACATGAGCTGGACAGACAGCAGCTAACAGTGTTACAGGGGAGAGACTGTCTCTGTAGGATGTGTGATGGGGCATTTTCATTCACTCCCCATTTGTTGCTATAAAATAAAACTGTAAATAATTCCCAGAACATCGCTAGGAAAATGGGTAGATTTTATCTTTAATAATCAATTGCCATGGTTTGAATTTGTCTAGAAGCACCCAGAAATGCTAAAACCTGGAAAACTCCATAGGTCGGAGTTCCCTCTGAGCCACTTCAGCTCACCACAACTATCAAACCCTCAAAGCCAATTTACCTGTGGGTTGACAGCAGAAAGTCACTTGCTGTGTGTGACACGAGATGGCACATGTGCCAGACAAGCAGAATCATACCAGTGCCACCAAGGCAACACATGCAAATCAACTTTATTTTCAGTATAAATTGGCTCGGTGCAAGAAATGTAAAATCTGTCAGCTGCAGCATTCCTGTGATACAAACCTAATAACATTTACTTGCTTACTTTAGTGACCATCCACACCCCCAGTGCCTGCAGGGCTGCTCCCAGTTACCTTCATCAACTGTGCACAGCCGCAGGGATGGGAAGGTTTTCCTGAACATGGGAGGTCTGAGGTCAAACCGAGAAAACAAATCAGTGTGTAAATAGCCACGATCCTGCTGCTGTAGCACTTGAGAGACTGAGCTACTGTTTTCTGGGGCTTTCCTGACTGTGTCCCCAAGGGTGTTGTGTGATCAACGTACTGACAGATCTCCCAGTCAGGCAGCGGGAATGTGTGATCAGGAATTTCACTGCTTTTCAGACCAACCTTTTCTACAGGTCACAGTTTTAACGTGTGATTTCCTTGAGGTAGTAGCTTTAAGGTTTTTTGGGGGCTGATTTTCTTTGGCTGCTGTAGATGGATTTCTCAATCTGCTCTGTGTCCTCTGATGGAAAATAATGGATTGAGGCTCCTTGCTTTACTGACATGAAACAGCAAAGTCTACCTTCCTTCCATACCATCACTTCTGCATTGCATCCTTCCCTTAGGTGGAGGCAATAAGAACATCAGCCTTCCAGGGCTAGTACATTTGCCCAGTCCCTCTCCAAAATAGGATGTTATAGCTCCTCTTTGGAGTTGGAAGATGATCAATAGTCCTATCCCAAGTGTGAGTGGTGAAACCGTCTTTTGGGAGTTAAAAGAGTCCTATAGTAAAGTCCAGATGTCTCATAGCTGTTGTGATCTTGTGAGCAGTTTTAGGAGGAAAGTCTGTGAGGGATACAGCTATGAATCATCTGTCTATCCTGTGTCCATGAAGAAGAAATAAAAACCCCAATCCAAAAAGAATCCATTTAATTCTGGAATTTTCTGACCTATTTTGGTGCAAGCTGGGCTAAAAAAAAAACCCCTCAAGCTCCTGTGCTGATGAGTTTCTCATATTGTTTACTCCTGTAACATTCCCTGTGCACTGCCAGCCAGGAATGACGTCCACCCCTCGTCCAGCATCAGAGAATAAGAACTTCAGAGGAAGGAATGCAACTTCATAAATAGCAGACCACAGACACTAATGGGGAGCAGAGGCAAACCTGCAGGTTAAGATCCTTTGCAAGAGAAGCCCATAGATCCACACTGCCTGGAGATTCAGAGATGATTTCAGCTCTAGCCTTCGTTTTCCTCCTCTGCATCTCTTGCCCTTTTTCATCATGTCAGCAGCGAAGGGCTGGTAAGTCATTTTCATGATTTCTGTATTTTCTGGACTCGTATGTTTTCTAGACTCCCATGAAAAGTATGTTTTGCAGAAGGGAATGAGGGAGAAGGTAACATTCAACTGCATCCACTGAAGCCTGAAAACGATGTTTAGGGATTTTGTAGTTTCGTATGAAACTTGAAGCTGAACTGTGTAAATGTTCAGTCTCCGATCTTTCCCCCGTTCCCTTCCAGAGCAGGGAAGTTGTTTTTTAAGAAAAACATTTATTCAAGGGCAGCTGGAAATTTTGGTGTGTTTTGTAATGACCTAAAAAAGGCACTTTCTATAAATCTGCATTTTACATGTGATTTGAGTTAAAAATCAGGTCATACAGAATGTCCTATAGCAGGATCCTTAGATATCCTCTCTGCTTGTGCACGCAGAGCTCAGGGAAGCCCTGACTTCCAGGAATGTAGTTCATTACAATAGGGGGATGCTCAGCTCAAAGAGGATATGGGAGATCTGGCAGCCTCAGGCTGTGTACCAGAGATTCAGATGTGTGCTTGTGGAGACAGAATGAGTCTATGCAGAAGGATGTATAGCAATGGGAATGTCTGCAAGTGCCTAGATTTCCTTTGGGATTTGCTCCTGGGCAGTTGAATCATTATTGTGAATTTGGACATTAAAAAACACAAAACTTTTCTTTTAAATGACATCTTGCTACAAGGGATGGAAAATTCTGCCCAGGAATAACGGCAGTTGCCTGCAGGCTTCCTGCAGAGCTTATTCAAAACCTCTGGAGTTAGAAATCATGTGCAAGCTCCTTGTTTTCAATAAAATAAGAAAACATGACTTGAATTCAGTCCTTCTGTCTTAGAACATCACATTTGTGGTACTTTCAATTTAGTTCCCAAACCAAAATGTATTGGAGAGGTTGTGAATACTAACAGAATCCTCTTGGTTCTTTGTGGGGTAGACCTGTGAGGCTTCCAGGCTTGCTTGTCACAGAGAATGCCAGAGTTGTGCTAAGCACGGGCTCACACCCTGCCTGTGGCACTGGCAAACTCCTCATGCTGAAGGAGGCAGCCCCCAAATCCAGCTGATTTTCCCCTGAACATGCAGTGGGAGATGTTGCTTTGTGTCTCTTCTTAACGGTTTGCTTATGCTGTAGGCAGGGTGTGACTTCTGTTAAAGGATTGGTTCATCTAGAAAAGCCAAAATGAGGTTGTGCTTTCTCGTGAGAGACAGGGAATAGCAGAGTTGAGCTTTGTGTCCACTTGGTTTCAAATGGTTCAAGTTTTCTTAAAACTGACATAGTTTTAGAAGCAATGAGCTGCTTCCATTCATTCCTCTTGAGCAAAGAGTATGGACTAGATACTGAGCATGTCCCAGAGGCCTGGGCAAGTGTAGAATCTAGCAGATGGGAGAATAAAGTCATGTTAATCTGCACTAAATGACCTTGTAAAATGATTTCTATCCTGTTCAGCATAGCTTAAACAGGATTTTGCAGTGTTGGATGAGCAGATGGATCCTCCATGTCCCAAACCCACTATTGACCAATTTGAAACCACCGCTACCCAAAAAGAGCCTGTCTCCAGCAGGAAAAGTCTGTCCCTTCAGAACAAGAGAGGCAAGGGCTGACGTGCTGGTTTTCCACGTTCAGTGCTTGGCAGCACGTTTGGGATAGACTCAGCAAAGAGCTTTACTTCAGTGGTGCCCTTCATAGCAGCTTCCACAGCACTGAATTATTAATCTGCTGCTTTTGGCAGCAAAGCCTTTCTATGTGTGAACTGCAGAACCTGTGCCAGATAAGCAGCTACCACAACTGCCAGGCTGCCAGGCCAAGCTGTTTGCTGAGGGGTAGCTGTTTCCTACCTGCCAGGAATGGCTGATTATCACTGTCTGCCCCATCCAGAGTAAACTCTACCCTGTGTGCAGGTCTCTGTTAATTCCAACAAGCTTCTAGTTAGGAACGGCCAGAGACTGGTATGGAGGAGTCTGTATCTCCTCATATCTTAATAATATCTTGTATCTTAAGCTGAAGTTAATAATACCATTGATTTGGACTGCTAATGACTCTTCTGTGTTTTTCCCAACCACTTTGGTATTTTTAGGAGGTGAAGTTGGGCCAGAAATGCTGGAAGAGATGAGAGAAACTAACCGTGTGCTAATGGAAGTGCGAGACTTGCTGAAACAGCAGGTAGGTGAGAAAGGGACCTGGTCCCTCATATTCAGAGAGATCTCTGAATCCTCTGCCTTATGTGCTGACTTCTGCAGCTGGGGGGGCTGCTTCTTGTCTGAAGTGAAATGAGCAATAGAATCATTGCACTGCAAACCGGAATCAAGAGGTGGTCTCACAATCAGATCAGTAACTGAGATAAAGTGGATTCATGTGAATTCCAAATTCTGCTGCTTAGAACCCTGTCTGCTGAGAACAGAAAGAACTCAAAAAAAACCCCAAAGCCACTCACACACAGTGGGTATGTATTTAACTGGAAAAACAAGTCACTTTTTCCTTGGTTTTGTGGGCTCATGAAATCAGTTAGAGTCCAAACTTGGAAGATGGAAGAGACCTTTCAGCCATCTATTAGGGTCCTGGAAAGGGAAGTCATATGGAGTCTAAACAAGCGCTGTATTCACTCTTTCCTCTTGTTGTTTTAATCCTAAGCTTTTCTGGCTCTGGTAGTTTCTTAGGGAATTTGGAACTTCTTGGGTGCTTAGATCTTTTCCCATTTTAGCGAGGAGATGGTGGTTTGCCTGGTCAACTCCCTTTTAAGCGTAGAAAAAGGTTCCATTCTCCCTTTCCCCACTGTGGGAGCTGAGGGCAGCAGCCTCTGCCTGCCAGAGGACTGGAATGGCAGACAGGTCCCTGTGCCAGTGCAAACTGGGCGGCCTCTGATCTGCAAAACCATCTGTTGCGTCGAGCTCCCCTCACATCTCAGGCTGCCGCATAAATAGCCAGTGTTTACTAGGAACCAGGTCAGACATGGTTCCTGGCAGCCTCGAGCAACGATTTCCAGTGTTCCCTTCCAGCTCAGCCCTGCCTCACCATACAGGTTTTCTGTTTGTTCTTTCTCTCACCCTGCCACTACTTGGGGTTTTTTTTTCATCCATGGCTTTTCTCAACAGTGCTTTCATGAAAACTTCATAGGCAAAACTTGCAAATACAACTGGAGAGCCAAGGGGGCAGTTCATCATTGCTTAATCTGTGCAAGGATTTTCTATAGCTTACTTTTCCTTGATTCAGCATTTTGGGATGTTGGCAATACGGATGGCAACAGGCCTGAAAACGAAAGGTCAGATCTACTCTCCTGAGCCAAAGGCTGAAGTATTATTGGCACAAAGGAGCCACTGATACTCATTAGTAGTGCTCCAAATCCTCCACTCTGCTCTGTCACCCTCTTCTAATGGGAGATGTTCTGGGGATTTGGGTTAGATCTCTCTCTGCATTAACTATTCAAAATACAGGATCCCAGGCCATGTTGGAGAGAAGAGAGCATCTAGCGTAGGATGAAACTTGCTCTTACACCTGGGAGCTGGCAGAGACGTGGGCTTTTGTCAGAGTGAAATGATGTCCACCAGGTGTGAAAGGCTGGTCCTGAGCATCAGTTGCAGACAGTGAGGCTTTGCAGGAGAGAAGTCTGCTGGGATTGCTCTCTGAGATGCTGGAGAATCTATAAACATGAGCTTGGGACTGACATGCTTACTTCTGTCTCTCCATAACCCAGGTGAGGAAGTCTGAAGGGAGGAGCTTTTATGAACAGATTATAAACATCCTCAAGGCAAGGGCATTAGGGACAAAGAATGGCAAAAACAATGTCAGAGATTATTCAGATATCTGCAAAGATGGCTCATGGCAGCCTCCCTCTGAGCTTTCCTTACACAGTCTGGGCTGCAGGCCAAGCAGACCTCTCCTGGACTCTAGTTCAGCATCTTTTACAGTAGAAGACCTAAATAAAGTAGATTTCTCTTTCTCTCCAACACTTGTTTGTGTGTATTTAAGTCAAGTGTCTCCTGCATCTGTGATAGAATAGTGTTACCGAGTTAGCCTGGAGAAATACTGCAGCAGGGAGTGACTTGCAGCAGGGAGCACAAGGCACCTCAGGTTCCAGAAAGTCTGTAACGTAGACTTTGGGTACCCAGAGTTACTTTGTCAGTAGCTGTGCAGTCTCAGAGACACCCTGGATTTGGCAATGGGGCTTACAAGTTTGTGTGGGAGCAAAACTCACCCTTTGGCTAAGTGATGGTTCTTGTTTTCTTCTAGATTAAGGAGATAACATTCCTGAAGAATACAGTCATGGAGTGTGATGCCTGTGGTGAGTTAGTGAGCTGAGTCCTATGTTCAACTGTCTCCTCAGTCCTTCATACCTTTGTGTGCAAACAAGTACTAAAAAGCTGCCTGTGACTGTGTCCCCAAAGGAAGTGGCTTGTTTCACAATTACCTGAGTGTCACAGGGTAATACTCAATATTAGTGATGCTTTTTTCCCCCTACAGCATTCTGCACACGTGGACCAGTGTTCCATGCTGCTCTCATGTTCCATGGCAGCTGAAGCTATTACCCCTTTCCTGAGCAGAAGTAGCCTTAAAAAGCTGAATCTTTCCTTCCAGCAACCCCCCAGCATTTGCTTACTTGCACTGTTTCTGAAATCAGCCTTATTGGTGGCTCTGTGACACACCATGCTGGACTTCTCAGGGTAGCTACATGCTGGTGCAGAAAGGTGCCCAAGCACATCTCCTCATAACCCAACCTATGGCCCATGTTCGAATTGCCTGGGAATGCACACTGGGTATCCTGTGGGATACAGCTGGCTACTCCTGAGCCACAGGTGGAAGAGATCACCCCCAAGAGGTACTGCTTTGCTATTCCTTCCATCCTAGTGCTGCCACCATCCAAGCAAAGAGGTTGTTTACGCAGAGTTCAGGAAACAGGGTCATATTTTTGCCCATATAAATCTTGTCCTCTGCTCCCCAGTAAATGTTGTAGGGTTTTATTTCTAAACTGGAATTTACTTCCAGTATATCTAGCTTGCAGAAAGCATGGTTCTTGGAGGTGCTGTTACCTGCCAATAGACTCAAAGGGTGCAGCAATAACCATGTCTGCATTTGGAGAGATTGTTCTTCTGCTGGAATAGAGATTAGCCAAAGCTCCTGGGGCCTGCAGTACAGAACTGCATTCATCCACAGCAATTGTTTTAATAATTTGCTCATAAAACTGTCCTGAACTTTCTCTGTTACTTGATTTCTGCCTTCCCCACTTGCTAGTCTGTTTTATGTGTTCTTCTCCTGTACTCCTTACTGTAAAATTTGAGCCTCTTTTAGTCATGCAGTGAACAACGTGACTCCCAGCAGTCGTGTGCTTCTCATTATTGCTCAGAAAGAGAAACATGAAGAGAGGAAGCCTTGGGTTTAGTGAAGATTTTGCTGCTAGCAGTGGTAGAGTGTCGGCTTTTGTTCTGTTTTGTTTCAGGTTTTTCATGTTAGGCTTTTAAGCTGGAGAAAGTGGGAGCAAAAAGTGTCCTGCTACCACTTGGAGTAGTGGCTGTGGGAGACTTGTGACAATTCTCTTCACTGTCCTGAACTGGCCTTCAGTGAAGTTCTGTGTCCTGTACAGACTGATTCTGCAACTTCCCTAGTGCTGGGGCAGGTCATGAGGACAGAGACAAAAACCTGGCATTTGGCCTCAACCTTTAAGGGAAGCTGGTGTGAGCAGTGTGGCACAGGCTGGATTTGTTCACAGTGCTTTGGAATAGGACTGCAGGAGCATTTATACGGGTTAGAATTTCCTACCCATCAAGCACAGTACGCCATGCTTAGATGGACCATATTGCTGTATTCCAGCCCAGAAGTGATGAATGGCTGAGTAACAGATTGATTTCCCATCTGCCAGGATTAAGGGAGGTTTCTTGCCTTGTGAAGACAACAGGTAGCATGTTATGCATAACATTATGGCACAAAGCCTTATTGAGCCTGATGTGAGTATTTTCCTGCTACAGACCAAGCTGACCTGTTTAACATGCCTGCTTCTACAGCAGAGACTTTGGCTGACAGCCCTCCACAGTGCTTCCCAGAATTAAGCCTGTGTGGGCTCCGCTTTAGGCAGGTGCCTGAGTCCATAGCACCAGTGAGGAGTAGTTGTGAAGGAACCAAGGAGAAAACTGGTCTCTGTGGAACTCCAAAGCAGGGGCATTGCACCAACAACAAGAGATTTGGACTGGAGCTAAGGTTTCTGGGGTTTCTTATTTATTTTTTGTCTGCTCTGACTCAGGAATTTGTCAAACTGCTGCTTCTGGCTTCATTTGTTTCCATTTACAAAACAGCTACAACTGCTCGACCTCAGAAAGGATGTGAGGAAATGTCCTGTGTGTGAAGCACACTGATCCCTTTTGAGACAGTGGGACCACCTGATGCTAGTCCCTGGCGGTGACAGCTATGTTCTAACATTCCTCTTGTCCTGCAGGCATGCACACCGAGGCCACAGGCCCTGTCATCACCGTGACACAGTTTAACAGATGCCTCCCAAACTCCTGCTTCCCTGGCGTGGCCTGCACCGAGACCGGCACCGGCTTCCGCTGCGGACCCTGTCCCCCGGGTTATTCAGGCAATGGCACCCACTGCACAGACATCAATGAGGTAAAAACCCCAAGTGGGACAGGCTGGAGGGTATAAACCTGACTCACTTGGCTTGGAGTGTTGCAGGTTTGGTTTGTGGTTTATAAAGAAAAGTCTTGCAAATCCCCTCGGAGCTCCAGTTCAACAGAAACATCAGTTCGTGGGAAGGAAGTCTGTCTCAGCCTCCCTTGAGCTCTGTTCCATGTGGGTTTATATCCAGCTAGGGATTTCTTTCTAAAAGATACATAGGCTCCAACAAAATAAATCTTTTGGTTTGTACCACACAGGAGGGTGAGTTTGGAAGCCCTGAACAGTCCCTTTTGGCCTTACGATCTTTGAGCTAATGGCTGATGAGTTGTTAGAGATAAGATTTATTACGCATGGAATAGAATCAAACACTTCCCAAATAGTTCCTTCTACAATAAATCTTACCACACTACTCTTAATGCTGTACTTCTGCCTTTAAATCAAACCTTGCTGGGCAGATACTGTTTGTTTTTTTTAGGAAGTGTGGCATTCCATCAAGTTTTCTTTCCCTGTCTGTGCAGAGCTTCACTCAACCGTTAATTTTGTGTGTACATAAGACTCCTTAGTTGTGTGGTTCCCAAATCCCAGTCCTACGCTCTCCGATTAGGCCACCAAGCAACTGCAAGTGTCTTGCAAAACTGTATCACCTTTATACTGTTTCAGTTTAAAACCTGCTGAAAAGGGTCAATGAGAGTGATGATAATCTGTCGGTCACAAAACCATGGGAACCACTCTGCTAATGTGTCTGCCAGTACAGAGCACAAGAATTCAGTGAAAATAACAAAGTGTTGGAGAAAATGAAGCATTAATAGCAATTTTGGAAGACAATTGCTTCCCAGGATAGTAAACAAACAACTGTTCTTGTCTGTCAAAACCAGTGTAAGAAATGATCCAGTTCTCTGGATTCAGAGACTGCCAGGAAGGAAAGTGTGAAGTGAAGCCAGCCCTTTGCCTGGGCAATTGATGTCACCAAAGAAGAATTAGTCCTGAAAGTTGGTTTGTTTTACTTGTCTGCACATTACTGGAACTTGGGGGAACAACGGAGCTGGGGAAGCTGCATTTTCCACTTGCAAGGAAAGCCAGGAACTTCTATGCATTTTTGGTTTATTCTTTAAAAAGAAAAGTACAATAGGTGGCTCTCAGCCAGCAAGGCCTGTTTTGAGGGCTGGCTTCACAGCTGGCTCTGAGGGAGAGCTGTGGGCCTGCCTCACAGCTCTGCACCACCTCTCTTGTTTGCAGTGCAATGCAAACCCCTGCTTCCCGAAGGTCCAGTGCATTAACACCAGCCCTGGCTTCCGCTGTGATCCCTGCCCTCCTGGCTTCACCGGCCAGATGGTCGAAGGGGTTGGACTGGCCTATGCGAGAGCCAACAAACAGGTAAGGTCCGGAAACGTTTCTGTCTCCCTCAGAAGCCATTAACTCTTTCCCCTCTGTAACTGTCATTCAAAAGTCTTGGAGGGACATGCAAGGTGGCTGCATTGTGTTGGTGGAAAGACTGATGCAGTGAGAGGAGAGACTAGCCAAGGATGTCCTGGCACATCAGCAGTGAAGCAACCTCCACTCTAAGACCTGACTTCTGCTCAATCTATGCTGGACATAATGTTATGTCTGTGACACCTCTGGGGCTGTGAAGCCAGCCCAGGTAATCCTTCATGCAGGGACACAAAGAACTCATGCAGCTACTCCCCCTCTGCTTCCCCAACAGCTGTAGACAGGCTAAAGTAAAAACAACAACAAAACCTTATGGTTTATAAGCAGGAACAGCATGTGGCTCGTGTTATTTAGAGAGCTGCTAGCTGGTCACAGGATGCAGCCTTTGACCTTCTTGTTCCATTGACCCGCTTCTATCCTTTTACAGTAAGGAGATACTCTGCCAGCTCAGCTCAGAGCTAAGCTATTTTGCCAGGCTAAAATCTCTGGTGACTGTAGAGGGTGAGCAGCTCACCTGGGGGTCAGGAATATTGCTGGGATCTGCCTCAGGTTTGAGGAAAACTTTGAGTAAGGTGTGTCAGAGGCTTTGCTTCTGCATCTAGTGATGCACTAATTCTGTGATCTGATGGGGGCTCTGCTCAGGAGTGAAGTGAATGTCTGTTTTGTTCTTCCTGGGCAGGTTTGTACTGACATCAATGAATGCGAGACAGGCGCTGCCAGAAACTGTGTCCCCAACTCCATCTGCATCAACACACGGGTCAGTACTACCGAAAGCCTCATGCGGGTCTCTTCCCCAGGCTCTGGGGCCTCTGTTAGCTGTGGAAATCAGCTGCTGAGGAAGCAAAGGCTTGCCAGGACTCCTGTGGTTGTTAACTCCCTATCGCTCTTCCTTGCAGGGATCCTACAAGTGCGGGGCTTGTAAACCTGGCTTTGTTGGGGACCAAGTGAGTGGCTGCAAGAGCCAGTCAGTGAGACGCTGCCCTAATGGAGAGATCAGCCCGTGCCACGAGAAAGCAGAATGCATCGTGGAGCGCGACGGGTCCCTCTCCTGCGCGGTGAGATTCAAACCTCCCCGCGAGCAGCGCCTGCTCATTCCGCCTTCCCTTGCACTGGGCTTGCTCTGCTGGGTCTGCCACTGCCCTCTCCTGGAGAGCCTTCCCCGCACCGACCTGCTCTCCTTTAACACCTGAGCGGCTGCAGTGTCGCTTCCAGCGCTCCCTGGAGACGTGGACTGCTCCTGGCACCTCAGGTCCACTCCTGTGTGTTTGGGCTTTGGTTTTTGCCTTTGCCTGAAGTGCTACAAGTTTGTCAGTCATGGAGCATTACACACAGCTGAGCAGGGAGAAGCACCCTGCAGCAACCTGCAGGAGCCAAGATGCTGCTGCATCTGTCTTTGTGATCTCAAGAACAAGCTGAGAGCTTGTATCTGAGCTATGTAAAATGCTGTTTACAGCATAAATGCTTATTCCAGGCAATATTTTTCCCATAGAGCACTGTGTACCTGGATTTGCAATGTTTCCAGCAGGTTCTCATGTGAAGCCTTCCATTTCGGAGGCATATGGCCATCAGGGCACTCGCTGCCAGCCTCATTTTGTTCGTGTGCTGTCTTCCAGTGCCTCGTGGGGTGGGCAGGGAACGGCTACGTGTGCGGGAAGGACACGGACATTGATGGAGTCCCTGATGAGAAGCAACGCTGCTCAGACAAAAAGTGCCGCAAGGTACGATGCAGTTGTCTCATGTAGCTGATAACAGGACACCAGAGGAATGCCTGAGCAGAACTGGGCCCTTCTGATGTGAGACCCTGCTCATCCTTCAGAAGTCAGATTCCTAACAAGCCCTTTGTTGCTTTCCCTGCAGGATAACTGCGTGACTGTCCCCAACTCCGGCCAAGAGGATGCTGACAGGGATGGAATTGGAGATGCTTGTGATGATGATGCCGATGGAGATGGGATATTAAATGCTGAGGTTTGAATTCTAATGCTTAAGCTCTGCCGTACCTAAATGGACCCAAAGGTCTTGCATAGCAATTGCCTTCGCTTCTCTCTCTCACTTGGCCAAGTGTCTGTGTGACTCCTCAGTAGCATGCTCAGAGCCACACGTCCCCCTTCAGCCCACCCCTGTCCCCGCAGGACAACTGCGTGTACACGCGCAACACAGACCAGCGCAACGCGGACAAGGACAACTTCGGTGACGCCTGTGACAACTGCCGCCAAGTGAAGAACAACGATCAGAAGGACATTGATGGTGACGGGAAGGGAGATGAGTGTGACGATGACATGGATGGAGATGGTAAGAACAGCAGGAGAGCACCCTCAGAGAGGTGCATATATCCTGACCTAAGGCCCAGAAAGCTGTGCAGCACACAGCTAGAGAGCCTCAGGGCAAGTGCCAGCCTTCAGAGGCTTGAGATCTACAGGAGCAGAACTAACTTCTGGTAGGATGAAGCACAGCTCAGTTTTTTAGCTGCCAAGCCAAGCCAACATCCTTCACAGTTCAGCTCTCGCAGGGTTTAACTATCTCTCATCAGGATGGTGCTAATTTATTAGCACTCTTATCGTGCACAATCACATCAAACTTAGGCAAGAAGAAGATCTCGGGCCAGACAAGGACACTACTTGGTGATGTAATTTAAATGGAGGAAGAAGTGTGGGAATAGCCAGGTTGTTGGCAGATACCAGCTCAAGGCAGTTTGTATCAGGGCTGTCTTCTGGGGTGAAAAAACATTAAAAGACTTTAGAAGCAGTGTGTGCACTGATGCTGCTGTATTTGCACAAAGCCTGCTTTCAAAAGCCAGAAATCACAACTGCCCTGGCCTGAGGCACACGTTCTTATTTACAGAGTATTTCTGCACCTAGCACTGTTTGGGTCTGGCTGCATCCTGCTGGCATGATGCACTGCTGTAGTAGGTAGATGCAGAGAAGCAGGAAGTGAAGTCATTCAGGTTGCAATTAGATTGTTCCTGCCCTTGAAAAGGCCCCGTCTAAACCTTCCAGGTCAAATGGCCAAGATTAACCTTGACTTATTTTCCAATTACACAGATATGTGCTTTAGAGGGAAAGCCTCTGTCATGGTTTAGGGGACCACAGACAGCTTCAACTTCATGCTCTTGGCCCCTCGCTCCTGTACAGATGTGATGCTGGTTTGGAGCCACATTCTTCAGTTCTTTAGCTTCCTCTGAGGAGCACAGTTTGGGACATTTCCTCTCAGGTCCATGTGCAGCAGCATGCTCAGACATCCAGCATGATGCAGCCGGGAGTGTTTTCAGATCAGCTGCTGCTGATCTTCATCCTCCAGAGCTGCCAGGATGTAATTGAAATTGTGTAAAACAGTTGCTTTATTACATGACTTCAGCTGTCCTCAGTTTTTGCCATCTCTTACATCCAAAAGAGATCTCACTGCATAGAGCCTGACAGGCCTCTTGCCTTGATGGGTCCACTTTGCTTGTTTTACAGGGATCAAAAACCCTGTGGACAACTGTAAAAGAGTTCCTAACCCTGATCAGAAAGATGCCGATGGTGATGGAGTAGGAGACATGTGTGACAGCTGCCCCACAGTCAGTAACCCAGACCAGGTAAGGCAGTACTCCCCATTCTGCAGTCCTGGGACGGTGCTGGCGTCACCTGCCTGAGGTGCTCAAACCTGGGAACTCACCGAGCACCACCTGCAAATCCCACAGTACAAAAGCGCAGCCCCTCGAGGTCACACGTCCTGGTGTGTGGAAGGGGGAGTCAGAGAGGAACCGCTGCACTCTGGCCTCCTCTCTTCCTACCCTGTTCATCTGGGGTTAGAAACAGCACTGCTTGAATCCATCAGGGCCACATGGAAGTCCTGCAGCAGGAACTCTCCCGCTGTTGTCGGCTCTGTTTTCAATCAGAACAGCCATGGCACTGAGCTGACCCCCCTCTTTGGTCTCTTTATTGCCTTGATTACCTCTTGATCTATGGAAAGTGTCACTTATTATTGCTTTATTTTACTAGAAAGATACCGACCATGATCTGGTGGGAGACGTCTGCGACACCAACCAGGACAGGTGAGAGCTTGCTTCAAAGATTACACTGGGGTTGCATGAAACCTTGGGGATGGGGGGAGAAGAAGGCAATTCCCTGTCAGCCTGGCTTGGCCTTACCTGAGAAAAAGAGGTTAAGGGAGGTGGAGTTCTCTTCATACCTCAAAAGTCAGTGGAAGCACAGCCCATGCTGGCCTGCTCATCATTACCTACCAGCCCCAGACCTGTTCGGACACTGCAGCAGGGATGTTTCTGCTCTCTTGTTGGTGTAGCTAAGGGGCAAAACTCACCACCTTGTGCTGTTCTTGTTGAGGACCCCAGCCCCTAGAAAGGTGTTACCTGCTTCTTTCAAAATGGATGAGCTTTACCTGTGATTTCCTCCACCAGCGATGGGGATGGCCACCAAGACTCACGGGATAACTGCCCATCAGTGCCCAACAGCTCCCAGGTGGACACAGACAATGATGGGCTGGGAGATGAATGTGATGATGATGATGATGATGACGGGATTCCAGATGAGAAACCTCCAGGCCCTGACAACTGTCGGCTTGTCCCTAACCCTGGCCAAGAAGACTCGGATGGTAAGGGGAAATGGATGCACCTAAACTCTGCTTGGGCCCTCCTGTTCCTGGTGGCTAATGCCTACCAGTTTGGTCTCTAGAGATAGCCAGGAATTAAGATCTTCTCAGTACTGACCTGGGACAGTCCTGTGTCATTTTCAGATCTCCCAAACCCCTGACATCGGGATCATATCTGGCACAAGTTCTCTTCCAGCAGTGACAATTTGAAGTGTCTCTTCTGCTCACAGCATCTCTGCCAGCAAGAGAAGCCTCGGGGTTTCTTTGCAACTGACTTAAGGTGTCTCTGAACACCTCTTAACCTTGCACATGGCTACCTTAAACTGCACTGTCCAACAGCTATTGGAGTAAAACTCAGGTGTAAGGGGTGGGAGAGATTAATGAACCCTTGTTACTCCTTTTCTCCTCTCGTGCTCTCAGGTGATGGTGTGGGAAACCTCTGTGAAGATGACTTTGACAGAGACATGGTGATTGACAGGATTGACGTGTGCCCAGAGAACGCAGAGGTGACCCTAACGGACTTCAGGGCTTTCCAGACGGTTGTATTGGACCCTGAGGGCGATGCACAGATTGACCCCAACTGGATTGTCCTCAACCAGGTGGGCACTGCTTCAGAACAGGCTGGGTCAGGGCGGGGGGGGGGGGACATGGACAGGCCTGTACCAAAGTGGGTGCAGTTTTCCTCATAAAACTGTGCAGGCTTCACATCCTAATCCTGGAGCCTCGCCCCAGGGCTATCTTTCCTCTGAGCACTGAACCAGGGTCAGGCTGGTACATTTGAAACTGTTCTCATGAGTCAACATTCCTCTTTTTCAGGGCATGGAAATTGTCCAGACCATGAACAGTGACCCCGGCCTGGCCGTAGGTGAGGCTCTTCCTTTTGTCCTATTGGGAAGGTTACTGCTCAGCAACTGCCTGCTCCTAGTGCAGCTTTACAAGTACCTAACGCTCCATGCACCTCCGGGGGAAATACTTCCTGCAGTAGCAGAAGCTTCAGCTTAGCAACATCCACCTCTCCCATCCGGATCTGGAATCACATGGATCTCCGTTTAGTCTTAGAACACAGAATCTTTGTTTCCTCACCCATTCCAGGTTACACTGCATTCAATGGAGTGGACTTTGAGGGCACATTCCACGTCAACACTGCCACAGATGACGATTATGCTGGTTTCATATTTGGCTACCAGGACAGTTCCAGCTTTTACGTGGTCATGTGGAAGCAGATGGAACAGACATACTGGCAGGCAAACCCCTTCCGAGCAGTAGCAGAACCTGGAATTCAACTGAAGGTAAAGCAGCCATTGATAAAGAATTCCCTAGTGGATGTGTGGCCTTTCTCTTAGCCGTGCCGCTTGGGCACGCGCAGCTCCAGTCAGTCAGTCCTTCATCCCCACCTCTTACCGGTCTCCTCTCGGTCGCAGGCAGTGAAGTCTAAAACAGGCCCAGGGGAGTACCTCCGCAACTCCCTGTGGCACACGGGGGACACCACGGACCAGGTCAAGCTGCTCTGGAAGGACCCTCGCAACTCCGGCTGGAAGGACAAGACCTCGTACCGCTGGTTCCTGCAGCACCGGCCCCAGGTCGGGTACATCAGGTGGGGGTCTACAGCTGCCTCTGCACGCCTGACGAGCACAGAAGCAGCACCTCCAGTGCAGTGCGGAGGGAAAGGGAGCGTGCGCTTGAGGAACGGCCTCTATGGGGGCACCTCAGTCCCACGTTCGTGTCCTACCCGTGCTTGTTCTCTCCTAGAGCTCGTTTCTATGAAGGACCTGAAGTAGTAGCAGACACTGGAGTTGTCCTTGACACCACCATGCGAGGAGGCCGCCTGGGAGTCTTCTGCTTCTCCCAGGAGAACATCATTTGGTCCAACCTGCGTTACCGCTGCAACGGTGAGTTTCAAAGAGCAAACACAGGGACTGCTGCCATTTCACTTTCAGGACACCCCTTTGCTCTGGTATAACCCGTCCCTAAGCCTGCAGCAGGAGGGCTCACAGCACCCGAGTCTATTTTTCACTCCTGGTTCTACTTCTAATCTGTATTTGCTTCAATCTCCTCCTCCTCAGACACCATCCCAGAAGACTATGAAACATTCAGAGTTCAGCAAGACTAAGGCCTGATGTCAGGATGTGTCCAGCCAGCCTTGCTTTCAGCCCCTGCTCAGCTGCCCCACTATCGCTCCCGTAGCCCCTGTGAGGAACTGTAAGTAACGTTACCACTGCGGCATCACCCAGCATCTCCCCTACCGCAGCAGCTGGCTTACACGCTCCAAACCCTGCTGGCACGGCCGTGGTGTAGCCAGCGAGTGTGGACAGAGCCCGAGCTGCTGTAAACACGAGCTCTCTACACACCGTGGATGCGCTGAGAAGCTGCTTGCTGTAGCTGGAATTGAGTCAGTCTCGCGTGGATGATTCCCAGGGGTTATTTTCCCTACTCAAAGGCTCTCAAGTGTGAATGTTTGTTTTCCTTGTCAAGCAAACCCAGCGCCAGTCTGAAAAGGACACAGGGAGCAGCCCATGTACAAGTTGCTCACAAAACATTAAAAAAAAGCACTTTAAGGAGAGTGTCTTTGTTCTGGAATGTTGGATAATAAATACTTGGAATGTTGGATAATAAATACTTGGAATGTTGGATCATAAATACTTGGAATGTTGGATCATAAATACTAGACTTCTCCTTTGTCATGTGCATGTTGCTTTTTCCTCCTCTGAAACTATTCTAATCCAGATGTGGAAGAGAGCCCCTCAGCAGCTGGGTTATCAGTTGTTAGTACATGCACGGGGCCATGTTCTCCTGTGAGCCCCTCCCTCTGCTCGGACTGCCCTGCCTGGGCCTTGTGGGTGGGGGTTAGCTTTAAATGAAAGCTTCAGGTGGGATCTGGGCACCAGGCTGGGACTCCCACAGCTGGACAGCCAAGGACCAGGGAGTGCTGCAGCCATTGGTGCCATGGGTGCTTGTTTGAGCTGGGAAGAGCAGACCCAGGGTTTCCCGAGCTGCCAACTGGGGAAGGCTTCAGCCCCGCACCAGGGTGATCCCCAGTATCTCCTGGGTAAGCAGCAGCAGCATTCCAGGCTGCCTCAAGAGCCCACTAAAGCACATCAGGTAAGGGGTTCACGTCAGTGACACTGAAACTTGCTCCTAGCTCCTGTGGAACACTCAGCAGTGCAGCTCTGCAAGCTCCATACAAGTTCCACTCCAGAGCAAGGCTGAGGTATCCATCGTGGGCAGTGACCATGCTGCTCCCGTTAACACGTTCCCGAAGAAGCAGGGTGTGAACACAGCTTCCATCTCCTCGAAAGGGCTCTCAGCTCGGAAGGGACATTGTAGGAGCTTCGAAGAAACCCATTCCCAATTGGATCTGGCCAGAGATGGCTCCGAGCCAGGCGCAGGAATGAACAACCCCTCACTGACACTGGTCCCTGCAGTGTCCCGCGCACTCGCTCTGGTTACGCTTCACACACAGAGCAGGTTCCCCAGCACAGAGGAACCTTCCCAAAGACAAGCACAAAACAAGGTTCCAAAGCACATTCATTCCACTCGAGAGCGATGCCGCCGCTGCCCAAGTGGAGGGACTGGGTCCTTCTGACCCAGCGGCCTTTGTGACGTCCTGCCCTGGTCCTGGCACCTCTGCTCAGCCCCATGAGCCACCCATGGCAGGCGCTGCTGTGGTGAACGCTACGCCCAGGTAAAGGCCACTCCTGGGACAAGCGAAGCGGGCCAGGCTGAGCGCTTACACACTCAAACCTCCTGCTCCTCAGGCTCTCCTCACCCCACACAGCCCTAACGCTACGCAGCAGCCCAGAGCCGAGACCTCAGTGAAGCTGAGACCGTCACCACACCGGCCCCACTCGGGATGCTCCTGGTGACAGCTCCACACGAGACCTGTCACAGCCCCTGCATCCCTCCAAGCAGCTGCAGTTTCCTCACACAGAGCTGGGTTTCAGCACTGCCAGAAGCCAGGGGACCCCCAGCACTCAATTCCACCCTTCCCTTACAAACACGAGCACTGCAACACCACCATTTCCACCCTGAGAACCACCACACAGCAGCCCACAAAGGAAGCTAAGAAAAAGCTGAGCAGCCAGAGACAAAACCAGTTGAACTTTTATTACATTTCATTTACAAATAATGCAAAGATACAAAGACGAAAGCCTTCACACAAAAAAAAAAAAAAAAAAAAGGATTGAAAAGAATGTACATTGAGTCGAGCCGCTTTTTCACATCAGGTCTCGGGTCGCAAACACTTAAAGCCAACTCCAGTTTCCACTTCACCCAGAGAAAAACACAACAAACAGAACTTCCCTGCCACGGGGACTACGGCTGCAGCTGAGGACTGCATCAGTGAGGGAACCGCACAGCATTTGTCCTGCCTCGGAAACGCATCAACCGAGCTCCACGCACTGCACAAGGCTGGGTTTTAGCTGCCAGGCTGGGAGAGGAGCGGCCGGAGCAGCGCCGTGGGGGTTCAGTAACATCAAACTCAGCCTCTGTGAGCACGGACACGTTTAATCCCCACTGCGCCAGGGAATCCTTCACACCGGGGCTCCGGCACCGTCAGGAGCATCTACAGGGTCTCATCCCCACCCCCGATCAAAACCTCAGGATCTCCTCTCCTCTCCCAGTTAAGAGCTCACTGAAGCACCACGTTCGCATCCCTGCGCTGGGTGCTGCGGACCCAACACCCGTCGCTATCTCTGTTCACTCAGTTCTCTTCCGCCTGTGCTGATGCTCATGCCAGGGATATTCAGGGATGTTCGGGATGCAGGGGGTTGGTTCAAGCGAGCCCGGCGCCCCCGTGACGTCTCACCCCATAAATGTTATCACCTAACTTTCATATTCACCTGCTGTGCGAGGCTGGAAGCCCCCCCACCCCCGTTTGTCCTCCCTACATTTAACGTCTTAGAAACCCCAAACCGAGCCAAGCTTAATCCTTCCCTGTCAAACGGGGGCTTGTGCCACTGCTCACAAGCGGGGCCATTCGGGCGCTGCTCCCTCTTCCCAACACCCAGCACAGACTCTGGGGCACTCACATCGCCCTTCGCACACCGGGGTTCAACTCCGCTGCTGCAAGTTTAAGCCTGTAAAACTCCAGCCGGGAGCACAGAAAGCGCCGCTGCTCCCAGTGCAAAAACACAGCCCTGGGGGGGTGCACAACCAGGGACCTTCCACCCCTTCTCTTCTGACCCACGGCAGCAAACGGCCGGACTGAGCCACCCCGGAGCAGAGCCCCGGCGCGGAGCTGCCTCCATGGATACCCCTTTGGAGCTCGCTCTGAAGGGACGAGGCTCCGACCATCGCCGTGCCCAGGACGTGCCCTGCACCCGCGGGGCTCCCCCAGCCCTCACAAGCACAAACCTCTCCCAGTGCTCCCCTTCCCGTGACCCGCTCACGGCTGAAGCCGGTGAGAGGGGGAAGCTCCCGCTGCACACGGCAGGGAGGAGCCGCCGGGGGTGAACCCACGCAGGCCTTGGATTCATCTCCCCGTCCCCAGGGGAGTGGCAAACCCGGCTCCGAGCCCCCCCAGCCAAGCGAGGGCTCTGCCCTGGGGAAGCCCGGCTGGGCTGGGAGGGTTCCCAGCTCCACAGTGGGAAAAGCGGGGTCCCAGCGGGCTCCATTCAGGACCGGAGCCACGGGAGCCTCCATGGCCTCCCACTCCCAAGACTTCTCCAGCACAGGCACCAACTCCTGCGGCTCTGCCTCCTCCTCCCTTCATGCAGTGTTCCTACGAGGCTCAAATCCAGCTTCCACTGGAGGAACGTGAATTCCAAGACAAGGGGTGGGGGGTGCTGAGGGCAGCTGCTGCATCCTCAGCTCTGGTTATCCCAATGGATTCACTGAAGGATTCCCTAAAGCCTACAGAAGGTGGGAGGCGAGATCGGGGTGAGATCGGAGCCCCCCCAAGCTCCCGGGGTTCAGACAACATCAAGCAGAAGCAGGATCGAACACTGAGACAGAACCTGGCCAACACCCGCTGGTCCCAGCACGGCCTCGCCTGACCCATCGGGCACGCACCGCAACGAAGACCCGAGCCAACACACACCAAACCCCAGCAGCTTGCAGACCCACAAGAGCCGCGTGCCCATGGAAGCGCCGCTTCAACCAGAGCCAGGGAGCGTCCGTGCACGCTCCCCACGTTAACCTGGACCGAGTCCCTCCTGGGAGGTTTCTGCCTCCAAAGGCAGCCCAGGGTTTCAGCCGCAGGTGAAGCAAAGCTCAAGCTCAGCTCCAGCCTAACCCCAAAGCTGCCATTGTTATCAAATGAGGAGGAGGAACCCTTACACCCGCTCAAAACGCCGTCCCTTCTGCACACAGAGCTGTCAGGATGATGGGAAAGGGCTGCCTCCTGCTCCCATCGAGCACAGCAATGGCTCAACTTCCTATCTATACCTCGGAGCCCAAGCAAACGAGACTGGAACCAGCAACAACTTGAACACCAAGACGGCCACGTTAATGTGTGCCTGCAGATCCCAGCTTCCTAAAACCCGGAGAGAGGAAGACAGCAGGAAAACGTGACCCCCAGGGCTCCCACAACTACTGTCATTAGATCATCGCTCCTGCCTGTGCACACCAGCAGCCACCACAGGGACACACTGCAAAGGCAGAAGAAACAAAGGACGTGTCTCTTGCATGTGGGTTCTGTCCCAAACTGCACCACCCTAAAGCTGGACCTAGGAGTGAACTGAAGCACAATCAGCAGAACAAGACCCTCGTGCCCAGCAAACACCAACACCGAGCACCACGAGCCTCCAGCGGGCAGGCGATGTACAGCAGGTACCCAACGCGCAGCGGGTGCTCCATGGCCCTGTCACTACTGAAGGGCAACAGGTAAAGTGGAAAGAACCAAGATAAAGCAAACCAAACGCTGTCCAGGCATTTCCCTGCCTCCCTTTCAGTGACAAGGTGAGAGAACCTTGAAGCAAGAGGTCAAGCTGGTTTGGAGGAGACAGCCAGGGTCGGGATGAGCAGGGAAAAGCTGCCACCACAACGGCACCACCTCCTCCAGCCTCCCCCTGCCACACGGACCCTCAGACCACGCTGATGTGCAAAGCACCTCACCCCCTCCCAGCTCCCAAAACACCTTCAAAACGGAGCAGTGACGGAGCTGCGGCTGCCCCAGGGATGCAACCCACTGGGGACAAGGGGGAGCACCAGGCTGGGGCCACGTCCCTGCCTCGCTGGCACCTGCAGAGAGAAGGGGGGCAGGCCCCTGCTCTTGCTCTGCTCTCTTTGCTCTCGTTACCTGCGCTCAGACACAACGGAAGGCCCAGCGCAGCTCCGGAGCAGCGGCACCTACAGAACACGTCAGACCCACAGAACCACGGAAGAGCTTGGGTTTGGATCCTGTGAGAAGAGCCCCGTGGGGCTGGGCCAAGGGACGACCCCCTCCAGGGTCTCCAGAGGAACTCAGGGCACGGAGGGACGGGTGGGGAGGCTCGGACACAGGTCTCCAGCCTCGCTATGCGGTTACCTGCATCGCCTCGACACCTGAGCCTCAGATCACTCCTCAGCCCTTGCTACGCGGAGCTGCTCCACCACAGAGCTGCCTTTCCTCGCTGCACGCATCCTCTACGCTACGGAGCTGCTTCCCTTGATGCTTCCTACAACGCAGGCAAGCCACTGA